GGCCGTGAAAAATCTATCATTCTTTTTTTGCCCTAACTAACTTTACGGGAAGTAACTCATTTGTTTACATTTTTTCGACAATTAAAGGTGCCTAAAACTGACATTTTTTTATTGCATTTTTGAAATCCCAAGTGTATTCTGTCCTAGAAAAAGTGTCTGAAAACCCCTGAAAAAGCTTTTTCTGGCGCCAAAAAAATAAAAGTCCAAAAAACCCTTCTCCAGCAATAAAATAAACAAGTCTACCTAAAGTCTGTCCCGTTAAAGTTCGATTTCGATTGTACATGCGGAAAGTCAATTCACTCCTCTATCCGATCAGTAAAGTTCCAAATCCCTAAAGTCACTCAAACTACCCGGTTACTAAAACAAGATGGCCGCCGATTGGTGGCATATCGAAATTTGAAGAACTAAAGTGCCCATTGCCATTTCAAATATCCCATTCAAAGTCTACTTCTTGCATTTGGAAAATCAAAAGGCCTAACCGCTAAGCCCACCTGAATTCAGTGTCCAAAAAAACCTGTCCAGACCATTAGAACTATGTAAATTGTCCCAAAAAACTCCAGGCTCGGGGAGTATATCAAGTTTCTTAGAGGTAAAGAGAAGAAAAAGCATATACCCTACCATTTTAGATTTGTTTGTTTGTTTGAAAGATGGGTGTGAGAAAGGAAGCAGGTGATAAGGGGAAGAAAGGGAGGAGGGAGGAGAGAAGGAGACAGAGGAGGGCCGAGAGGGCGAGGAGTATGAATGTTATTGGTAGTGTGGAGGAAGATGTGGAGGGAGAGGAGGAGGCGAGGGAAAGAATGAAGGCAAATGGTTCCCGTCAATAGCAAAAATAACCGCATCCCAATCGAAGCTTTATTTGCCGAGATGTAAGCTTAGAAAGTGGAAAATTCAATGTAGCATGCTGCCTAAGCTCCGCGTAATCTCAGTCTAACTTCACGGACGGTCAGCCAGATGGTAGAGCTACCTGCCTGTCAAATTTCAATTCTTCGGACTTGGTCAAAATGTAGAGAAAATCACGTAGTTCTAACGACTGGGGAAGGTTTATTGGACCCTCATAGTTCTAATAACTGGGGGAGGTTTTTTGAACAATTATTTATTATAACCTTCATATAATATGTCAAACAATGTCCTGAAAACCTTTTTGTCCAAAATACCGAAAAACTGGACAAGTTGATTTTTCAGTCATTTTTCAAGATTTTCCAATGAATTTTTAACAGCTAACTCGTTTCCATCATGTCCAGCTGCACCTAAAAAATCAGCAGGTTTCTATGTTTTTCCTAGCAGCCCTAGTGCTTTGAAAGTGTTAGAACTCTCCAAATTTACTCAATAACTCAATCGAGGTCAAATCGCTCAAATTTCCAAATTTCAGAGAAAACTTGTTATTAGATGATGGGGCTCGTTAAAATGCAAGTGAGAGTGCAATTGTCGCATCTCTAAGTTGATTTTTGGCTGAGAAATAAATCAAAAACAGTTTTTTTTTTTATTGCAAATGGTGTCCAAAAAACCATGTTTGTCCTAAAAACCTTCCCTGGTTGTTAGAACTATGTCTATTTTCCTGAATGTCCAAGTCCAACTCTTACGAACAAACACCCATTTCTACTTGTCTTGGAAATCTGAATTTTTGCATGCAGTTAGGCATATCAAATTTACGTTCGGGACCAGAAAAGCAGATTCTG